AATTATTGAGGCCCCTACATTAGGTCTCGGACTTCAGCGGTAGAGTAGAGGAAGCAAGGAGGGTCCACAACACCGATTATTATAAGGGGTCGGAATTACTATCAATACTACTCCGTACAGGAGCAAATTGCCATATACTCTTATATACGCAAAAGCCCTATTCCAACTGTTGATGTCCTTACAATAATCGTCGTCATGTACTTCCTGAAATGCTTGGGTGTCGGGTGTAGGCGAACACCCGCCTGTAACGTAAGAGTTTTTCATAACCCGAGTACCTAGTTCTCTCTGCTTCGGAGAGCCAGGCTAACCTCACCAGAATCTGCGTAAACCACACTATGAATGTAGACTCGCTGCAGTATATGACGGTTCCCTTGAAACCGCTTAGCTCACTGTAAGAAGGAGAACACTGTTGTGATGAGGACCCGCATCCAAGAATGTTGGAAGCGTCCAGAATATGTCAGGGCGGTAAGGGGGGATGAATCAGGAGTTTACACTGGTGTTCAAAGCTTGGGGATCAAATATGGGTCATGGACTCCTATAACCGCCCGCACCTGTGGCCCAAAACCCTACACCATAGTCGGGTATGCCCCCCTGATAACCATACTCGTAGGGTCTAGAAACCCTTAAACGCTACAGTGAAGGTTCCTGCTGGAATCATGTTTCCAGATCCGTCAATTTTGCTTAATTCGAAAGATGAAAGGGTTTAGCTACCGATGTCGTTAGCAGGACGTTGAGTCCATCACCGCCTCCGACGCAGCCTTTGCTGCGCTGCGTGCGGACGGCACGGCCACTGTGACAGATTGATTTCGAGCACACTTTGCAGGGTTCCGCAGGTCGTGGGCTAAAGGGAAGGTCGAGGAGTTCGTCACTGGTCAGGGGGTTTAAAACCTTTCGGGTGTCTGGAATCCTACCATAAGTTAACTTGTTTTGGGCCGGCAAGTACGCTAAACCCCTGCAGCCTAAACCCTGAACCCGAGGTAGTTACTTGGGGCCACCGCAGCCGTGGTGGAGACAGCCAACCTTTCACGCACCACGGCGGACCATGGTGCAAGGGCTTCTCGTGTTGATTGAGGGCTTTAAAGTCGTGTCAATTTGGGAGTTTAAGGCTTATAGGGTTGAGGGGTTTATAGGGTTAACTTGGATGTTTAGGGTCTAGGGTTTTAGGGATCAGCTTTTTGTATGGGGGTGTTCAGGGCTTAGGGTTTTAGGGGTCATGTTGTCTATATAGTATAGGGTTTAAGGTAGTTTATAAAGGCTTTAAAGGATTTGGGTTTAGAGACCGTGTGTCAGCGGCTTTTCTGGCGGGCCTGAGATGGAACATCTGCAACACTTAGTCCCTGCCTGCATGTTCGTTCAGTTGCGACTTGAAGGTCACAAGCACGTCAAGCCTTTATTTTTAGAAGTCACTCCTACAACGCAAGCTGGTGGTTTATGTGACCATCTGCAACACGTGCAAAGTGTTCATAGGTTGACGTTTTACTGCTTGAGCCCCTGATATAGGGGCCTTAATAATTACATTAGGGCTTGGGGTATATCATACTATAACTATCATAAGGAGCCCCCAAAACCCTCTTCTAATTACGAAGGCCCCGACATTACCCACAGCCATGCCGGAGACCCAGCTGTTTTGTTCTTTCTTTGGATGAGCAGCGAGACGGGCACAAGGCCGACAAACTCTGACCTTGATGCCTACGCAGACTATGTAGCAATGTAGCTGCAAGGTCACAAACACCAATGAATCATCATTGACAATGAAACACTACGGTTTCGGTGAAGTTTGTTCTAACAAGGAACAGGTACGCGGCACTAGGCCCCTAAACGCCCTAAACCCCTCTAAACGCCCCTAAACCTAAACCCTAAACCCACCCCTAACGCCCTCGACCCTAAACTCTAATCCAGCTCAGGTCGCAACTCTACGACGTGCGTCAGATTGTTGGCGCCAGCAAGGCTTTCGCCGCACTGCGAGGGGATGGCGAGGTGGCGGGGTTTATAGGGTTTATGGGTTTAGGGGCCTCAGTAATTGGAAGAGGCTTTGGTGTTATAGTATACTATAGTTATAATAAGGAACCCCCAACACCGTATTCTTAGTATTAAGGCCCCTACATTAGGACTTTTAGGGGTTGAGGGTTTTGGGTTTAATTGATAGGGACCTGCTCCTTCACGGAGCCATTCTGAAATAAAACCGTCGTGTTTTTTCTTCTTGCAGGTTAGGTTCCTGATTATGAAAATACAGATCTGCCCCAACATCTTATTGAAATTATAAAGGCCCCTATATCATATGACCCTCAAAGTAACAGCCTTTATAGACCCCGTAAGCAACCCACGCAGGAGCCCTACTCAAACTGTTCATGCCCGTTAGCACCTGGGAGTTCAAAGGGATTCATGGGGATGGGGATGCAGATTGGGTTTAGGGTTTGGGTTTAGAGTTTTGGGTGCAGGGTTTAGAGTTCAGGGTTTGGGGTTTAGGGTTCAGGGTTTAGGGTTTACGGCTTCCGGGAGGTGACATACTTTGACGTTTTGGATCTGATGCCCTACTGCAGTAAGGGTCCTGCCACATAGTTCTGGGGTCATATGGCATACTATGTTGCAGGGTTTGGGTTGCAGTTTGAGGTCCCCCGAGATCACATTCAGAGCCCGTAGAGATCACAGAGATGCCTTCAACAACACTGCTGGGTTCCTTTAGGATCCGAGCCGGGAGGTTCGGGTACGTATAGGTTTTAGGGGTGTTGCTGGGGTGCTGCTCCCGACAGGTTTCCGTGGAAGAGTGCACCGGATGGTAGACACGAAGGAACCAGATTCCTTAAAGGCTCCTTCGAGGCTTCCTTTCTGTATGTTTCTCTAAAGATTGCTACAATATAAGCGTTCGAGGGTCCTGAGGGCTACTATCAGGATCTTCTATGAGGGTTCCCGGCATTAAATGCCTGTTTTCTCTTGTACTGGCATGCGTGAAGCCGCGCCCCTGACCGTAATTTCTAAGATCAGGCCCACCTTGTCGCACATCATAAAACAAATCCCAGACCCCACTCTACACCCGAAACCCTAAGCCCCTAAACCCCTAAACCCTCAAACCCATAAGCCTTAAACCCCTAATCCCTAAACCGCTAAGCCCTAAACCCCTCAACCCCTCAGACCCCACTCCTCGATTGTTTTTTCCCAGACCCCGCCAAACATCCTAAATCCTCGCAGGAGACCCTTACGCTCGAGCCCCAAACATAGCTCAGTAAACCCTAAACCTTAAATCCTAAACGCTAAATCCTAAACCCTATAAGACCCTAGTAAAGCAAATCCTATAGACCCTGGTGCTCCACACAAAGAAAATGTCCCGGAGGTGGTCTGCTGGGGCCGGATTGAGGCCGAACTTGATGCAAGCATCCGCTGCCGCGATGTCGAGGAAGATCTCAAAGATGTCCCACGCCGAGCAACAGTCTTAGAAGCCATCGAAACAGCTTGTTACCGCACCATGTAGGCTTTCGAGTTTAGCGGGTAGAATCTATGGTTCAGGATTTAGTGTAGGGTTTGGTATATTAAGGGGCGGGTTGGGTTGGGTAATTGTGCGTCGTAAAGGTCTGTACTGGTAGCGGTCGTAGTAGTAGTAGTAGTAGTAGTAGTAGTAGTAGTAGTAGTAGTGGCGGTGGTAGTAGTGGTAGGAGTAGTAGTAGTAGTAGTAGTAGTAGTAGTAGTAGTAGGTAGTGAGTAGGAGTATCTGACT